GGTTTTGTTTCCCCCTCTCCCGATGTCTGTAGCTGCTCGATCCACGCAGGCAGTAGCTGCTTTCCTTCCCCTCCTCTTTGGAAAAACCTGCATGGGAAAGCCACTCATTTCAGAAGGTGTTTGCGTTTTGCTTTTCCTTCCCCGGTGCGTGCTCCCGGCTTGTGGAAAACCCCCGGGGCGGGAGAGCTGGTTGTTGAGAGCTGGTGTGTTTGGGAAGGTGACCAGCGCGGCAGGGAGGCGGTGGGTGCGGGGAGCGCCTGTCCCGGGCGGGGGAACCCGCGATGTCCCTCATCCCCATCCCCGGAGCCAAGGCTTGGGGAGCCCTGGGGACCCCGAAAGAGAGGTGGATCCTAGGGAGCCGTTTGGGCTACCTGGCTTCAGGCTGGGGCATTCCCTGAGCCAGACACGTGTGGAGCTGTGTCTGAGCATCGCTTCTGCTCGGAGAGGGGTAACATCAACTGCTTTGCACAGGGGGGGATTTTGCTTTGCAGGGCTGCTGGCATCAGGGGTTGGCTTGTGTGTTGTGAGATAAAGCCCGACTTTAAAGCAAGAAAGTAGCAGGCGTGGTGTGGTACACCAGCTGCACCTGTGTGACAGCAGATGGCAAAGCGATAAGTCCTGGGTGAACGTGGAGATGGACTGATAACGGTGCCTCTTCTAGAAAAAAAGTACAAAACAAAACACAAAACTAACAACAAACAAACAAAATGCACCTCTCCGGCTCTCTGAGGTAAGTTGATTCTTACCTCAGTTGATTTGTGTTGAGCAAGTAAAAAGTCACAAAGAGGGAGGGTCCCCCCAAAGAGTCTTACTGGAGGAGATCTGTGTGAGCCTTGTACATTTTGCAGTGGGTGTCCTGGATTCCCTTGATATCAAAGATTTAAAAAAAAAAAAAGCTGCTGTAGCCTGAAAGTATGTGTGAGTGCACGCAGACACACGTGCCTGCTGTGGGGGTGAGTAAGTGAGTGCAATCCAAATATTGCTGGCAGCATGTTTGGTCTAAAGAGTATCTAAAAAAGAGTTCAAAACAGCATCAAAAGTAGCCTATAAAGAGTCCTGGGTCTCGACTGTTTCAGTTCAAGCTCTCCATTGAACGGAGTAGGTGAAGCTGTGTCTCTCTGGAGCATCCCAGGGGCACTGCCACCTCCTGAACACACCCGCAGAGTTGGACCTTAGAAGGCTGTGCTTAGAAACCATTGAGGAGGGACGATTGCTCCCCAGTAATGAACTGGCTTTCTGTGGGTCTTCTCCACACCTGAACTGGGACATGATGGGGGGGTTGGTAGGCTGATGAAGGGCAGTTTTCTGTCTGGCATACATAAGGGAGTGGGGGAACAGGATGGAAAGGGGGTATAGAATAGGGAGATGAGCGG